AATGTTTAGCAAAAAAAAAAAGATTCAATTTTATTTTACTATTCAAAAACAAAAAACAAGAACATGTATATTCAATATACTATATTCTTACAAAATGATTGAATAATTAGGGTATATAGAAAATTTTCATGTTGAATGTAGTACGTTGAAACTCTTTTACTCTACTCGAAAACCCTAGCCGCCAGAGAGAAATTAAAAGAGAAAAAAAATGTGATTTGAGTTTTCTCCCTCTCTGATATCAGGTGCTTTTACCGGCTTCGTGAGAGAGAGAGGTTATAACTTTATATTCGATATGGAGTCTAAGGGATGTCCATGAGATTTTTTTTATTGGAAGATGATGCGATGTTATTCACCGTCTGACTTTTTTAGATCTAGTTTGTGATTCCCTTCATTGGGGTTAGTTTGTGATTCCCTCATTAGGTTAGTTTTATGGGTGAAGTTTTTGGTTGAAGTTTCTTTTTCCTGGTAGAAGATCTATAGTTTGTTAGTATCTATTCAATCTTGGCTATCTATTTGATTTAAGTTTTGCAGTTCAAAGTTGTTCAATGGCGGCTTCACTTAAGCCAACTCGGAACAAATTTGACAAAGGCAATCAAAGAAGGAGATTTATCTAAAGTAAGAGAATTGTTGTCATATTATCGTAATAGATATTGGATGTCCGGCTGCTATTGTGGATTCGGYAARACCTACTCGTCTARRTTCGATTCGAAACAAGATCATCTTGYTATCGCTAATGTGTCGTCAACGATTATTGTRCTCACTTGATTTCTYGTGCGGAAAGGACCATTAGTTTCTCTTTGTATCGCATATGTTAAACTTTTTCAATGATATAATCTATTCTAAATCAATTTCAATAAAATAAAGCATTAAAAACAAAAAATGTAGTACGTTAAATCTTAGCTGTTTTTCTAAAAGTGTGCAACAAAATATGCTATTTTCAAATTATTACTCTATTTTTTTCTCCTAAAAATAGAATAAATATAAAATACAGTAAAAGACAGTTCACCTTTCTTTTTTTATCATACCATTTCTAGCTCTAAGAAAATATTTTAAATAAATATATTTATATTTTGTCACTAAAGTTTAACAAACCACCTTTTGTTAGTATCATTGTAGTTTGAGAACTTTTGCTTAATATCGGTCATTTTTATATATTTAAAATTTCAGTTAGTTAGATAATCCGTTAGTTGGATAAATTAACAAAACTTTACAATTTATATCCCTGTATAACATATTTAAGTGGTTTTTGTTAGTTTTGTCACTATGTTATCATTCAATGTTACAAACAAGAACCGGTCTTGAGAACCGGTTTTGTCACTATGGTTTGAGATTTGAACTCTCCACCTCCTCTTACTAGCCAAAATCAGTTTTGACATTTATGCCAAAGACAATTTTTGAGATTTTTTAGGCCCAAGTTCAAGCTTCCTGACTAAAGATGTATTTTGAGTAAATGTTTTTTACTTATCAAACCGATGTTTTATAGAAAGCTTAAACTCCAATAATAGAGAGATTGTTTAAAGAAGAAACAAGAGCAAACTTAGCTAGAGCATCGGCTACAACATTTGCCGAGCGAGGAATATAAAAGAAACCGATAGATAAAAAAATCTAAGCTTAGACATCTAATGTC